GGTCTGATGTTTGTTGATTTGTTCCCAAGTTTCGGTCTAGACACCCAAAACCAACACAATTGGTCTTAGATGAATGTCTTTCTTCAATTAAAGGTTCAGTCAATATTCCCACTGGCAGGTCTGGAATTTTCAATAACATTTCTATCACTCTTCAGAAAGCAACTTAGGATCTTAACACAGACTCCACTACAACCTAGTTAGATGAATGTCTTTCTTCAATTAAAGGTTCAGTCAATAGACACCCAAAACCAACACAATTGGTCTTAGATGAATGTCTTTCTTCAATTAAAGGTTCAGTCAATATTCCCACTGGCAGGTCTGGAATTTTCAATAACATTTCTATCGCTCTTCAGAAAGCAACTTAGGATCTTAACACAGACTCCACTACAACCTAGTTAGGCAGTGATCATAGATCTCATCAACTGTAGAAAATAACTTCTAAATCCCAGACACTAGAGTCATCAAAATGTGTGAAAGCGATCAATCATTTTTGTAAGCCTAAATGCAATGAGTAGGGCAGGTCCCTAATTATTCAGGGACTTTCAAAGTTAGATAGTAAATATAATAGTTTCACTTGACATGCAAACCCTACACAATTTTCAATCAACAATTTGCATGCATTAAATCAAAGAGTCTTTAAATTTATCATTCATAACTGTCATCATATTTCTAAGATGCCAAAAAGCCTCTCGCTCTCAAGTATCCAAGTGTCTCCATTCAACATACTACTCAAGTTTAAACATATCAACACAACATATTAGGTCTTCTCTAGTGCTTCAACTTTACAATGTTCCTTTTGATCAATTTGATTATCTTCTTTTGTTGCTATTGCATATAGATATTCAAATAATTAGCTGATATATCAGCATCTGTATAATTTACATTGGATATGGATGCATAAACGAGTAAAAAAGTTAGGTATGCATAAAAATATTTGGATATATTGGAGATCTAATAGCTAAAATTATAGTGGTCTTAGATTGGGAGACTGAAGAGGAATTTTTGATAAATCTGGGTCCAACTCCACAGGTGAGTGTATGCCTCACACATTGATAAGTTCTGATTTGTGAGATTCGCCAATGTTCATACAGTTGTTATGTTTCATGGCTTAAAGTATACACTTTTTTTAGTCAGACTCATTTTCCTCATAGCATATACATATCCTCTATCCATATCCATTTTGACGGCATCAAATCTGTGTATGACTGGGTTTTCATGGTCTAGTACCCAGAACTTAGATTATTTGAAATAAGTACCCAAAAGATGTTTTGAAGGGTTTTTATCGTATTAAACCCTAAATTCTATCCTATTCTTATATAAGGCCCCAAAATCTTCACGTTTGTAGTTTATACCAGATCTTTTAACTTGCTTTATGTGCCTAATGGAACATAGTTCATACCAAATCTTTTAAGTTTCCTTGTTATAATTTGTCGATCATGCATATGATATCAATCTTTTCCTTCCTCTTGTTAGTTCAATGAACTTCACAATGATTTCTACAGGATAATAGTTAGTCCTAATTCGTTTCAATTTTATGGGGAAAAAATATTATTTTTTGCCTCTCCTTACTTTCTTCCAGAGGTTTGTTTTAATTGAGTTTCAAAATGTTGAGTGACTAAAGAATGTCAAAAACAGAGAACAGCATGAAGCTGGAAAAGAGCATGATATGAAAATTAAATGGATGTTTTTCCTGTTTGAGGCTATAACACAAAGCATCCTTGGTAGAGATGGCATAAGAAGATTGGAATGCTGAGGATGAAATAAAATTGCCCAGCAAAAGTATTTCTGAACAGTTTGTACAAAATGGTCAGAAAACATTAATCTCTGACTTAGTTTTTCTGTAGACTGATGTCAAATAATAAATTCTTTTAAACGTGAGATTGGTTGGTCTTTGGGTGATATCTGTACAAATTTTAGACATGCTAGCAGGAGCATGTGTCAAATCTAGTGAACCAGGAATTGAAAATAATAAAAGTATATGCTATCTATCAGAAAAGATCTACGATTATCAACACAAAGAAGCAACATATGATGCAAATAAAAACAAATGTACCTATTCTTGCAAGTCGATTCACCCATTTTGGAATTAAGTTGCCAGTCAATTTATAACATATGTCCTTGCAGAAGTGGTTGCAGTTCTTTCCAATCAAATGGTAGGTATCACCATTGTAGTTTACAGAGTTAAGCTCCATAAATTCTCTAACCTGCATAGGATCTAAGCATGTTGTGCCCATGTATATTGATTTCCTAAACCTGAAGCCTGGACACTGTCGAGGCTCCACCTCAAACACCCCACTTGTCGGATAGTCATGTGCCCCAAATGCATACTCCACACCATGAACTGTGAGCACATACATCAAATATTAAAATGCTGCAAAAAAGTAAACAAAGAGTTCTACAACACAACTATCAGTTTGTTAGTTACCAAGGAGTGAAGAAAGCTGAAGAAGAGAAAACTCAAAATCAGCTGGCATAAATGATTGTATCCAGTCAAGAGTTGTTCAAATGATGCAAATTTGCTCTATTCCATGGCCCTTTTGGCGCATAATTATCAAAGAGAATTCAATAACAGATTAACATAGGTCATTAAGGACTTTGTAAGTTGATAAACCCCAATGTTCTTTTAATAACATATTAAACACAATGCTTCGTCGTATTGATTTATTATTTCCTACAAATTTGTATCTAATCTAGGCCTTGCCACCCCCCACCCCACCCCACCCCACCCCGCCACCCGCGGTCAAAGGATAGCTTAGCATGCATTTTACAGTTATACTGAAGTATCATGATGTGAATGGCAACTAGGGAAGCGAAGAGTTTTGTATTTATTTAAACAAGTTACCTCCTTTGATGCACTGCACCTGGATGTGAGACAAGCATCCTGTTGTCCAAAAAAAATATGAAAGCTAAACGATTGCATGACACTTATTTAGTTTTCTTCATGTATCCGAAGCTCAGACACTTCAAGACACTCAAATAGAATATCCAGCCATCTTATCAAGATTATCACCACAATATTATCCAAGTCCTACACTAATTTTATTAACTTATAAACTGATTGATTATCTTGATGCTTTTTTTACGTAAATATACACATTAAATAAGCAACTATGTATAACAGTCTCCTCTTGCCCAATTTTACGGTTTTGTTGTTGGACAGCTTTGGACACATGGATTACATTGCTTTGCAATAATCAAGCAGACTGTATGTCTGTCTGTCTAGTGAGGAGGATCAACATGTTGCAATGTAGCCTCCATGTAAGTTGAACATATAAATTACTTCAAAATTGGTTACAATTTCTTTAATATTGTTGATAGTTGAGCGCCAACATTTTTTATATAATTAACTGCTCTGGGTATTATTATCAAAGATTAAAAATAACCCAATAATTTCATTAAAATGTTCATTTCACAGACAGCACCATGAAGTTGATTCATCACAGTTTGATGAGTTTATGCAGCAAGAGGATCAACAATACAGTCCAAGAATCCCACCATGAAGTTGATTCATCACAGTTTGATGAGTTTATGCACCAAGAGGATCAACAATAGAGTCCAAGAATCCAATGGCCGAAGGAATAAAAGCCCTTGCAAGACATTATCTGCATGGAACTCAATTTATTCTGGTTCACGGGACAGCTACGGGAGCATGTTACGCCACTCAATAGGAATCGGGTACGAGAAGGGTAGGCTTATATGGTACACTAAGATATGTTTTAGGTTCGGTTCTTAACTGTAAGACTCGTGGTTTGCAAGAGTCAAATTTAAGAAATATGCTAATTGATTTTAGTAATGGTAAAAGAACCTTGAAAATCATATGTTGCAATCAAGGTATGCATACTTCATTTGCTTGATTTCTCACGTTTTTTTAATTCTTTGGAAAAAGAGCTAATTTTTGTTCAAAATGTTAACAACTTTGAAATATAAATTAGGTCGTCGGAGTCGGTGAATGTTCCACCACGAATTCATGACAATTGAACCTCGGTCGTGGTTTGCTATGGTGTCCTATGTTCCCTACTTCTATGGGACAAATCATGGCTAACGTGCACCATGACCAGGTGTGTTGTAGGCTATGTTACACGGGCATGAGTGGGTGTGGATCTGGTTGCGAATACGGGACATGGTAAATTTATAAAAGATAGAATATGGGGACACAACTATATATATGCACATTGAAATTAGTTATTTACATGGGATCGATTTTGTTTTTTATTTAGATGTCATGAAAACTAAGATTTCTATAATATTTTTATGCTTCATTTATTAAGTGGATTATACACTAGGAAACTGCTCTTTTTTAACTAGATTCATAAATGCCTCTTTAAAGTCATGCTTCTGAACTGTGTATGGGATGAAATGTACCTGACCAATGTCTGAGTTGTGGGTCAAGCTTGTTGCAGGAAGTGGATGACAAGTGTTTTAAACAAAAATATGCATTATATAATTGAGTACATGTGTGAATAAATGTATGCACATTCATGAAGTGTCTAAGAAGTGTCGGCTACGGACGTGTTGACCCTATCCAGACGACGTGTCATGGGAACCTAGACTGTAGAACTCAGATTTAATCAGTGATTCAAATCCTGCTGAGAACTACAATTGGGTCCAGGAACATTGGATATCACATTTAGTGTTATTGTACAATATATCTTAAAACCCATAGTGTAGAATAAGTTATGCTTGCTTGCCTTCATGGTGCTTGCCTTCATGGTACAGTAGGAACCACCACCTGTATCTTAACCTCCTGCCTGCTCGTTAGCTTATAGCCTACAAATTTTAGTATATCATAATGCAGCTATCTAATGCCTTTTTTGTTCTTCTTAGTTGAATCCAAATACTAAAAATAGTAGAAGAAATATATGGTTCATGTTATGAAGGCCCAACCAAAATCTGAAGTGAAAGATGACATGGATAAAACTAGTCTTAATAACCTATTTGGGTATACCTAAGAAAGAAGGAAGAAATTATCCTCCTCAAGTTACACCACTCTTTCAGTTGCAGTGAGTTCCTATATCAGTTCAGTTCAGTTCCTAATTATCCAGACAAGACAATAAATGTGTCTGTGTTGGGATTTTTAGATCTTGTAAAAACTTCAAAAACTACCAAACACAGTAAATAGAATCACACACAAGATTTAACATGGAAAACCATAAATAAGGAAAAACCACGGGATCGAAAACAGTACACTATCACCACTAAATTACAATTTTTTATATAAATAAAGACTGCAAAACACTCTTAGTACCCTTAAACCTAGTTACATCCTCTGTCAAACCCTTTGATCATAAAACTATTGTATCTCCTCTTCTAAAAAATCCTAGGATAGAATGTTTTATTTAAAGACACCATTGACTTACTCACAAAGTTAACTTGGCCTCCAAGAAAATTATTGGAATTGGGCCTAGTCTTCAAACTGTGATCCAATTTAGAGTTTGAATTAGCACCCAATATATCCTCTCTCGATAAAAAATTTCTAAGTATCTCAGTGGTTTTAGAAAAACTCACTCTCTTCTTCTTGTTCTTCACCCCTCCCTTGTGAACAAAAGTCTAAAAAGAGTCACCTATACCATTAATAGAATACCCATCTAAATAACAAATATAGTTGCTATTCTTCCTCGCAAAATCAAATCATCCTCTCTATACACTTTGCACTAGTCTCCTTCACCCATCTACTTGTATCCACGTGATGTCATCTCATCCAACAAGATTAAATTAGCAATCACATTATGACACATATCTCATATGACAAAAAATTCTGACCTTCTCAGTGTGAAGCTTAAGGCAAGCACTCCTAATGCCTTCAACATTTATCTTCGTTGTTGCCAACGATCACGTCACCAAATTCCTCATCTGTCTTCATTATTTCTTGTTGCAAACATGCATATAGACTGTAGAATTTAACACCCAAGTGTTACTCGCATCTCGCATCAGTATCGATACTCTTCGTCATCAATACCACATCTTCATCTCACACAATTGCTGAAGAGTCCTCATTCTTCCCATTTTCATGAAGCTTCAACTGTCTAATATTCTTCAAATTATCTCGCATTTAGGAACATCTAAATTGAATATTACCTTTCTCTCTGCAATAGTAGCACTCCATTATACTGTTGTCTCGGGCCCGAGATTTTGACCTTCCTCGATAACTGTCATATCTCGCCTTACTCCCTCAATTAGAACCTTCAAAAGATAGTATATTCTCACCATCACTAGATGCGCTCTCCTTTGCCATTATTCTTTCATTCTCTTATAAGAGTGTTGTCACATCATCAAATTGTAAAGACTGCTTCCCCACAATTATCGTTTGAACCAACGTCTTGTACGATTTTCAATAGGAAAGGTAGTAGGTGTAGGGTCTGCTCTTCTTCTATAATCTCCACATTCATATTCATAAATTGGGAAATTAGATGATTAAAAATTTAAAAGTATTGACGTGATCTTGAATAGTACTATTTTCTTCTATCTTTAATGAATAAAGCTTCATTCTCAAATATAATCGGTTAGTCATCGACTGTGATCTCACAACCCCTTTGGTGTGGTCTCCTGCATAATTTTGTACTTGATCTCAGGGATGAGTGTCAAACAAATTGTGTTGACCGTCTTCTTTTGTATGGAACTCTATTCATCATCCTTCATCTCTTTAAGGTTTTTCTCCTCCAAAACTTGATCAATACCTTGTTGCACTAGAAGATCTTGAACCATACATTGTCATACTATAAAATTCGTCTTATCATTGAATAGCAAAATGTAACGCCCCGTCCCGGAATCCCGGAGTCGGTACGTTATTAGATCTGATGGACTGACCTCACAAACCACCACGTGTCTTTTCAGCACATTTTGTCCTCACTCACCCGTTTCCTGGAAAACTTCCCAGGGGGTCACCCATCCTAGAATTTCTCCAGACCAAGCACGCTTAACTTTGGAGTTTCTAAGAGTTGAGTTCCCGAAAAGAAGATGCATCTTGGTGGTATGAGTATTCCAATCAAATCTATCAATACTAATCACATCACCCTCTCAAGGGTTGGGGTATTACAAACTCCCCCACTTAAACTCGCAACGTCCTCGTTGCGCCAAATCATATCATCCAAGACCGTACCATCAGTGTGAGATTCTAGAGGTGGCTCCTACCATATCATCCAAGACCGTACCATCAGTGTGAGATTCTAGAGGTGGCTCCTACGGCCTCAAGAGGTGGCTCTCGCCCTCTTGACGTAGCACTTTGCGCCGCATAGCACTTAGTTCTCATAACTCCGGTTGGCTTTGCTCTGATACCATTTGTAACGCCTCGCCCCGGAATCCCGGAGTCGGTACGCTATTAGATCTGATGGACTGACCTCACAAACCACCACATGTCTTTTCAGCACGTTTTGTCCTCACTCACGTGTTCCCTGAAAAACTTCCCAGGGGGTTACCTATCCTAGAATTTCTCCAGACCAAGCATGCTTAACTTTAAAGTTTCTAAGTGTTGGGTTCCCGAAAAAAAGATGCATCTTGGTGGTATGAGTATTTCAATCAAATCTATCAATACTAATCACATCACCCTCTCAAGGGTTGGGGTATTACACAAAATATCGAACTTTGGACCCAAAGATGTCATCACCCTCTAACCACAACTAAATTCAAATCAGTAACTGTAATAGTTGAATTTGGCAGAACATATGTCAAAAATAAATTCAACACATCGGAAAAACCTAGAAACGACTCTTGGATTATTAAAATTCGCCTTCAAATCACTAATTGGCTGGCAAATCAATCTCGCCTATTAGATTGACAGAACACCAAACACCAAAAAGAAGTAAACACTAGATCAGATCACCCACTATTTGATCCCTTTCTTCATGAATAATATCGCCCTCTCTTTTTTTCAAATTCACGTGAACAGATTCATACCTTCTCTCACGGGAGTTTTGGTCATGTGCCTCCTCTCTTCTTTCTCACAATCAGAGAACTCACAACTCCTCGCGATCACAACTACTCGCACCTCTGATCAATCTCCGACAGTCTCCTGGAAGTTCTCACTTGCCAATGCTGATCAGTGTTGTCGATCGCAAACCGTCGAACCTCGCTCTGATACCACTTGTTGGAATTTTTAGATGTCGCATAAACCTCGAAAACTACCAAACACAACAAATAGAATCATAGACAAGATTTAACGTGGAAAATCCTCAACAGAAAAAAACCACAAGATCAAAAACAATCCGCTATCATCAACAAATTATAATCTTTTACACGGACAAATACTGCAAAGTCCTCTCTTACAATACCCTTGAAACCGGTTACACCTTCTCTATTAAACCCTCTGATTATAAGAATATCTCTCTCCCTCTTCTAAAAATAGAATAGAATGTCTTATTTAAAAACACTCCTGACTTGCCACCAAGTCAACTTGGCATCCTAGAAAATTACTAAGACAAGGCCTAGTCTTCAAACTCGGATCTAACTTGGAGTTTGAGTCGACACGCAACAATTTGTAACTATTCTTGCATAAATTGAAATTATTTATCAACCAAATATCTATAAAAGTCAAATTGTCATATGCTACAATTTTTACATTTAGTATTACTTAAGTTCCTCCACACTAGGAGACAAACAATAGAAAATGGGTCTTAAGAGGAGAAATTAATTTATACCTCCTGGGAGCAAAACTGTAAGTACTGCTAACTGTATTACTCTTTTGGTATTAGTACTACTTTATCCTCAAGTGAATGACAAAAAAGTGTGAGCTCTATACGTCACCTTGAAATTGGTTATGAACACCTTACGATATTAATAGCAGCATGAAGTCATATAAACAGTGTAGTATAGTTAGCAGTTAGCCAGCAAGCTATAATTGGAATGACATGTCAGAGGTAGAATAGTCCCAATGAAAATGTGACCTAGAAGGGACTCCAGCATATAGTAGCGCCTGTGTACTCAAGGATTACTAGTTAGTATGTCTCAGAAAGGAAGTACTACAAACTCTTAAAAGTGTCCAGAATAACTTTACGATGGGTGACTTCCAGGCAAGTTCTTGCTCGGTATTGCCACAAACTTTAATTTTGTTAGTGGGTTCTGCTACTAAGTGGAAAAGAGTTTTTTTTTTAAGTGCATATCAAAGGTTGAAAATTCTATACTAAGTTCAGAAATTGGCTCCTTGAGATGAAATTATATTAAAGATGCAGAAGATCCTTCAAAACAAAAGACAACATAAATGTCGAATGACTGGACTCGAAGTTTTCCATTTAACTTGATAATAGACTAAGACCATCTTTCACCCAAACAAACTGGTCCTTACTCCAAATCATAGGATCACATTTCTGCAGGCAACTGTCACCAAGTTATCAAGACCCACATGGTACTTAGAACTGTGTATTACCTCTGATAGTAAATAATATATATATATAATACATATATATATATATATAATATATATATTATAATAATATATATAGTATATATAATATATATTATATTATATACTTATATATAAATATCACATACATACCCCAAACCTGACGAAAAAGATGTTGTTTTAATATACATTATACACTTTTAATTTTGGCATAAACGTATTAGTTTGATTAAAATTACAGCTACATGATGAAATATATCACTTTGATGATGACCAGGAAGGGGGAAAAACAAAACAAAACAGAAAACAAAACAGAATGACAAACGAAAGAGGGGAATGGTAGAGAATTGGAGGAACAAAAAAGGCTCGCTAGATATATTTTGATGATGACTTGTTTCACTAACTTTTAAACAAATACAAAATCTCACATATTTTGCAGTATGCCCTGAATGAATTAGGAAAGTTTTGTAATTAAAGTACAAGTGTCACACACACAAGCACGCACATGCAAGCTCACACATGTAGAAAAAATGTGTATGCGGTGGCGACTCATTTTGCTAGATGAACTAACAAGAGATGGATAAGTTGTGAGCCCGCCCTACTAGTCACATGGGATGTGTGGGCCTGACCACCATCATCTCTTGGTAGCTCATTAAAAAAAATAAGCTGCTATCTCAGAATTGTGTGTAGAGGGAAGGAATCTACGAACATTGCTGACACATCCAAAGGCTATGAGATTGTCTTTTAAAGGAGCTAAGAGCATTGCTGATGACTGCCATTCTTTAGTTAAGAAGTAAATTTCAGATAGCAACTTTCCAGAAAAAATAATGCTTGAACTAAGTATGTAACTAGATATATTCCATTTGAATATCTGGGATTTGTCTGATCCATGGTTTCAATTGTTCATCTGAATTCCTACGCTACATCTTCATTACAAACAATTTGATGTTTCTTTCATATATTGATAAATCTTCAATTGATATTCAGCAGTTCATACAATGGAATAACTCTACACCTGCATGTTTTTCTATAAAAGTAATCTTAAATCTGTAACAAAATTACCTTCAATTCCTGAGTGAAATATCCCAAGTCCTGCCCAGTAAACGTAACCATTCATGGGTGTCAAGTCATACACATTAAGGTAAACTGGTGCATCGCCTGCAGTTTTGCTGGCCGCACGGATTTTCTGGAACATACAAAACCGCGCAGAAGATTTTCTACTCAAGTGAAAAGGCATGCACCCTTTCTTCGTCCCTGACTTCATGGTCCTTGTGAAGGGGGAAAAAATCAAAGTCAAAATCTCTCACAGATAATGAATATAATAGTGTTACACAACCAATTTAAATACACTGAATAAGTTCAAAACGTCACAGTAATATACAAACAAACAATATATACGCCATTACAACAGAACAACAATTCCAGCGAAAAATGGAAAACATACAAGTTACTAAAAACAACATAAAACTAACATACGCAAACAGGAATAATGTAACAGAAAAAGTCCGAGACCATGGGAACAATATAATAATAGAAGAAAGTAAACAAAACAATGCCCTTTCCCATATACCGAAAACTGTTTCTAAAAAGAAACTTCTTTGTGAGATCCACAGCAAACTATCAAAACTATTGAACAATTAACAATATCATAATTACAAAATTTTGCCCAAAGTGTCCCAATTTGGGAGCGAAAACTTCCCATCAAATGCCTGGATCAATTTACCCTTGTTTTTCAATCAATTTCAGGCAAATATAAAAGACTCAAATTACACACAATTAACACTGCACTTGAGGAGATGTTGTCCCCAAAAAGGGGTGTAAAATCATCAACATATTCAAATAATACAACAAATCTACAAAACAATGAATTGGGAACCCAGTTCTTGAAATCTAACCAAAAATGGACTAGCAACAAATAAGCCCCTTAATTTCCATTTTCAGATCAAAATATATCAACCAGATCTAGATTCCATAATGACAAGCATCCATAAGCCGAAATTGAAGGAGAAAATATACAAAACGAAATCTCAGTTGTCCTATAATGTGAACCTAAGGAGAAAAGTTGCCGCATTGGCAAGATCACATCCAAACCCACACCAAAATCTACCTACATTTCCAAGAAAGGTAAAGAAAACAAGGATCCAACCCGGAAAAAAAAGCCCAGATTTAGGTGAAGATCCAGGAAAAACCTATCATTGCCAAAAAAAAACACAACAACTGAAAGAAACCCACTCACCCAAGATGGAAGAAGATCCAGAAAACCACATCAACTGCCCAAAACCGCCATTTTTTCCCTCCAGATTGGGAGAAGAAAACTAGAAAACAGAAAGCGACAAGGAGATGGGGAAAAGAGATTCGCTCAAGATATGAAGACGAGGAGAGAGAAGGAAGAGAGAGAAGGAGAGAGCCCTGTTCATTTCTCTCTCTTATCTCCTCTTCTTTTATTTCCCCCGCTCTCTCTCTCTCTCTCTCCTTTTCTCTTTGATGATGAAAGATCAAAGCTTTGGCTTTTAGTAATCTCAATTTCTCCCTCCCTCTCTCTCCTCCCCTTTCGTAGGAAAAGAGCAGACAAGGGGTCTCAAAAAGCGCGCTTTCTATTATTTTCTCCACAGTTTTCAGGTGGCCCCCTTGCTCTTTAATTAATTAGTTAATGAATGAATGTTCTTGCAATTGATGGAGTTTGGTTTGAGCTAGATGCAATTATTTCACCTTCAAGGTTTAGTTGTTATAGACGAAATCGAAAGGATGATAACATTATTATTACTACTATTATTATTTTCCACCTTTCCAATTGTTGAATTGAAAGTGGGGTCACAAGAATTAAGGTTGATTAGCTGTTATGACTCATGGGTGTTTTGTGATCTAACTGGGGGTGATGTTGATCTCAGATCTCGATAGCGTTAGATCAATTACTAATGGCTAAATTGTACTTGAATGCGTTATAGCTTCGACAACTTCACACTTAAATAACATGTATTTTAGAACCGAGCAAATAAGTATCTTAAATATTTAAATGTTGCAGATAAATACCCCGAAAGTTAAAAATAATCCAGTTTCTCTACATATCCAAGAACCATATAACAAAAGTACTAATGTGTAGCTTTTAGAAACTTTAGGGTGTTTAAGTAAAGTACATTACAAACCGAGTGTATTTACGTGCAACGTTGGGTAAACAAGAGGACACTAAAATTCAACATTTTGAAACTTTAGGGCATATATATGCAATATTTAAATATTTTAGGATATTTATTGGCTCAATTTTAAAATAAAGGTCGATTAAGTGTAATGTTAATGAAAATGTGAGGCATTTAAGTACAGTTTAGCCATTACTAATAAATAACAAGATTTCACTGATAGCTCTATATGATCTATTCTCTTCAAGTTTTTTTAAAATTGGTGACTCATCAATGAGACATATATTTCTCTGTTTTGTAATGTAGAAATGGTGTAGAACAGAGTAATATAGTTATCATGATTTTTCACGATATCTAGTCTATGACATTGATTGTACATCAAATTTAGATTGACATTTGAATTAGCGTGCAAACCCGTAAATCTAATAATTCAAGATTATGTAAATCTTTAGTGTGCCATTAGTATTACCGGTCACATAACTATCGTAAATATGTATCTTTTATAATGCCAAAGTTTTGATGATGTGTGGTTGGTTAGATGGGAATCCGATTTTGGTGTAGCATGGATGTGATCAGTTTTCCATTAAAAAGGGTCAATTGTCAAGATTCATATCGAATCAATTTAATAATGGAATTATCCTGATCTAAACTTGCCTAATTTATAACCAATGGATTAAATCAAATATAAGTAGTTTTCTGTTAAGAATGTGTCCAACAAGTGGAGGAAAACAAAGTAATAACTATTTCAAAGATAAAATACTTTCTTTTAACATTCTAATAACTAACGTGATCGTGTTTATGATTAAATGATAACTTTTGTTCTATTTATTTATTGTTTATCTAATTTATATTATATTTAAAAATTGATTTTTAATTGGATTAAGGCACTTAGTCACTTCATTCGAGTTTACTCCCTATCACAACCAATCGCATGTGATTGATTGTTCCCTATTGTGTGGCTCATAATTGATTGTTCGCATGCTATCGGTTCTGATGTGATTTGTGGGGGGAGTTGAAAACCGAAACTTGTTTCCCCAGTGTAGCTCATAATTGATTGTTCGCATACTATCAATTCTGATATGATTTCTAGTGCTTAAGTTTATAGAACTTTTAAGTTACTTATTGACCATGTTTAATAGCCAAGTTAGATGGATTGATTATATTATTATTAATTCTGAATTTTGGGTTCAAGTCCGCTAGTTTAGATAAAAAATTGTCAACTTAGGTGAAAGATGAGATATGAAGACTTCAAGAACACATCGTGTGTCATCAATTTAAAAATGAGGTACATCACATTCAATGCTTCAAGTGAACTTTTAATTGTTAAAACCCACAAGGCTTATTGAAAATGCTTCAGATTCAGCCATTCAATTTCTAATCTGTCAGAGTTTTTTTTTCTTTTCATAACCTTAACTAAATGAATAAGCATCTGCTAGTGTTATTTTAACATTATATTTTTGACACAATTCATAGTTGTATAATATTTAGTTGCGATCTTAAATTTTCCTTTTACAAAACCTTAAAAACCATATCCACAAGGCTTTTATCATTTATGATTTATTGCATCTCCTTCTTATTAGTTGTGATTTATCATCTGTGATACAAAATAGTGACAACTTTGTTGGTTGACTGAAAAAGCAAATGCTATGATTGTAGAAACGGCGAAGAAGATCGGGAAATTTTGAGTGCACAAGACTAGTCACGGGTCGGTCTACCAAAGTATATAGACCGATCGACCGACATACTGTGAAATTAAAGGGTGAGAAACCCTGTTGTTGGCCGGTCGACCGAACATACATGTCCGGTCGACCGAAAAGGTGCACGTTTACAGGGTGAGAGTTTGGGCTTCTGGCCAGTCGACCGGATGCTCATGTCCGGTCGATCGCGATGCGGTTTGGGCCCAGATTTATTTTCCTGACCTGTTTTGGATTCCTATTTGATATAAATAGGAACATGATGTTTTCTAGGGTTATGAGAGATAAAAAGAGCTGAGATTTGAGCATTGTTTGAGCACTTAGAAAGGGGGAATTTGTGAGGGATTTGAGAGTTTTGTTTGAGGGTTCTTTTGTGAGATTATTAAGTGATTGTAAACCCTATTTGTACTCTCTCTCTCTCTCTCTATTAGTGAAATCTTCCCCCTCCTTGCCCTGTGGACGTAGGTACATTGTCGAACCACGTAAAATTTGGTATCTTGTTGTGTGGTGCTTGTGTTTGGTTGTTGATTTTGTTCTCCTATCTTGTTCGTGTCCTTCGATTCCGCTGCGCACAACAAGTGGTATCAGAGATTCAGGTTGGCTTAGGGTTCAATTTGGAGGAGAAAGCTAGGGCTTCTACAAGAGGATTTGCTGCAGATTCTCGTTTGAAGATTGGATTGTCAATATGACCAAAGCAAGTACATTCGGATCATCCCTAACTAAGGCGATACAAGGTTTGAGCATTACTAATACAAAAAATGATGTTCAAAAATTTGATGGCAAGATAAATTTTGGATTGTGAAGGTGTTAAGTGATGGATGCATTGGATGCTCAAAATTTGGAGGAGACTTTTGAATTATAAGAGAAACCCAATGATATATGGAGTATAAGGTTTGGAAGAAAATAAATAATAGAGCATGTGGAGTTACTAGATTGTGTTTGACGCCGGATTTGATTTATGATGTCATGAATGAAACATTGGCGAAACAGTTGTTGGAAATACTAAATGACAAGTATTTGACGAAGAGCATTGAGAATCGGCTTCATTTAAAGAAGATGTTTTACTAATTCAAAATGAAGAGGAGAGTTTCCATTAGAAAACATGTCAATAATTTCAAAAAATTCCTATCGGATATGGCCAATGTGGATATCATAGTAGAGGATGAAGACAATGCAATGTCGTTATTGTGGTCGTTGCCAAAGGATGACTATGGCACTACTGGATACAGGACTTTTGGCGACGGACAAATCTGTCGTCAAAAGTCAAAAATTCGTCGCTATTACTTTTGCATCGGAATAAAAAGAATTATGTCGCCAAATTACCGTCTATACATTAGGGGTAGTTAATAGGACTTTTGGCGATGGAAATTCTGTCACTAAATTTCACCGACGAAAAATCAGCGACGGACTTTCCGTCGCTCTTTTCTTTTAAAGAAAAAATTTATATTAGCGACGGATTTTCCGTAGCTAAAAAATAATAGCAACAGACATTCTGTCGCCAAAAGCGTGTCCGTTTTCATTTTCACGTGTCCGTTTTCCATCACTAAATGTATCTTTAGCGACGGCCAATCCATCGCTAATAAAGACTGCAATTGTTTTTAAAAATATTTTGAAAATTGAAAAAAACATGTACAATAATATGATAAATTTAAAACCTTGTTCAATCAACAATATAATATTCATTCCCACGCATATATAACACATATATTTCAATAAAAACAAATAAAAATATCCTGACATAATAAATATTGTTTATACAGCACACACCCATTGTTTTCAAAGTTAAATTATACAAATCAATCCTCCTGATCATCATCATCCTCCTCATCACCAGCTCCATCATGTCTAGAAGTCTCGGCTTGTAAATATAAATCAAACGTTAACAAGAGTTATAGAGCAAAACATCATCAAAAACTAAATTTTACAGTAAAGTAACAAATTATAAAACAACATGGTATGACATGCAAGTGTAGCAATATGAGAGAGTATCATGGCATAATCTTATGTATCATATGTTTCAGAGATAGTATCATGGCATATTCTTATGTATTATACGCACGTACGCACAATTTTTTTAACAACACACACACACACACCCTAACACCACCCGTAATTTTCTCACCACACACGCATGCCCCATCCACACGACCCTCAACGCGCACATACACGCACGCACGCACGCGTACACACACCCAATCCCCACTCCTCCCCTCCCCCACCATGACCAAACCTGATACCAACCAATCACATAACGACCACCATAACACAACACAACACCACAACACAACACAACACCACAACACAACACCACCACCACCACCACCACAAATCCCCAACCCCACCCACCAACCAACCACAACACCACAACCAACCCACTAACTAATACCACCACCACTACGTACGCACGCACCATCAATACCACCATCACACAAAAATATTATAAGTATATATTTTGAGCTTTGTGTTAGGGTTAGAGTTAGTGTTTGTGTGTAACCGTTTGTATCAATATGTATCGGTGTGTATGATATCATTTACTCACGAAGAAAATTCATAACTAAGTAAGAATTATATATTTAATTTATTTAATTAAAAAAAGTAAAGTATATATATTATCTGATCCGACATAAACCTTCTCCTATATGCCTCCTGGTGTTCCTGAGGCAGAGTCGACATGAACTGTGTGAACTCCAATTCTCTCTGCTCCTAGCGCCTCCGTTCTTCCTCCGTAATCCGC